TCACTTGGATGAGGAATAACAATGAAAGGTTCAAGGCTTGGGTTGAAGACAAGGAGGAATGCTCAGTATGGGTCAAAGGACGAAACACACCGGCACAAGACAAGGGGACACGCAGACTATTTAAACACTATGAAGGGAACCCCAGGGGAACACAATTGGTGATCAGGGAAGACAATTGGACAGATGAAACACAGGGGAATGCAGGTAGCTTGAAACAACGGGATGTACTTTTCAAAGTAAAAACAGGAAATAACAAGGCAACCATGGAAACGGGACAAGACACCAAAAAATCCCCAGGCGTGACACAAGAATAACAAAAGCCTTAAAATGACCCTCAATCTTCTGCAAAATACAGAGCCTGACTTCAGGTTGGTTCAGTATGAAATTGGTTTAAAAAGAGGAGCATCTTAGAGGCAGAGAGGCTAATGAAACATTAGCTTGACTAGAAGGGAAACTGTCCTTTTCTGCTTTCCGGCAGCATGGTGACAGATGTTTCCTACCTCCTCCTCGCCTCCTCACTCTGTGACTGTAGATTCTTTGCCGGAGGTGTTTTCCTCTCTGCGAGCTGGACGACCGCTCGGCTGTCCAGGGGGGAAGCAAAACCCAGGTTAGAAGATCGAAAAATGCCAATATTTTCTTTTTTTTTAACAGCAGAAAGAAGGAAACCTACTGTGGGTTTCTCTAACTGGAGCCATCTCAGGAGTTTTATGTCTTCTCTTGGTCTTAAGGCGAGTTCGATGCTGGAGGTGGCTGCACTCTCAGGCGTGTCTCAGGTGTGTCTCACCTGCCCCAGCGGCTGAACCTGGTTTCATAACCTGGACTTGGAAAGCGAAACTTACGGGTAACGGATGTGAAACACACATGGCGATTACAAGTGGTGACTAACTCAGCCCCAGGGTGCATTTTGACAGCCTCTAGTTTCGGTTTTCAGGTAATTGTCAGAGCTGGGTGAATTCGGAACACATGAAAACCGTTATTATTGTTATCACAGTTCCTTAATCTCATCTTAAAAACTGACCCTTTTGTTCTGAAAAACGATCAAATGTCCCACCAAAACATCCCATATTTATCCAAACATCAGCTAATCTTTGAAGTGAAGATTTCATTTTGGACTACCAGCTTTCGGTTTGTACAGCAGATGGCACTGCTTTTCATAATTAGAACATGCAGAACGAGTAGTTTTTTACTATTTTACTATTAATTAAGGAAAATCGGAGCTGTTGCAGATCACTGGCCATGGGAGTAATAAATACCTTCTCCATTAAATGGAAATAACTTATGTAAGTTTTGGCCTTCAAATGGTAAAATTAATGATTTGATATGTATATTAGGGGGGTGGGGGCTATTTTTAAGATATGATTCCATTAGGTATGTTTCTGCTGGTAGTTAAATGTCACATTTGTTGAGCTGCAGGTTAAAAAGAAAACCTAAATTAGCACACATCTGAATCAAATTCAGGTTTAATACTGAGACATGAACGTAAAGTTAGAACCCTAATATTGCTTTTTGGACTGTAGTTACCTGAGCTAACCAGCAGGTGTCACTACAGCTCCAGTAAGACATTAAAACCTCCACAACCCTTTATTTATTATCAAGCTGCTGAATGCTGCTTCTGTGTCTCCTTAAAGACTCCCCCATAAGGGCCTTTAAACACCCCAGAGCCTTTTCTTAACCTTATTAAACTCTGACCTTTGTCCTGTGATGTTATAATCTTTATAAAAAGTCTCCAGTGTGGAAAAAAGGACAGCCCTGAGCCTATAACATTTGGATGATAGCCAGATTTTGGGCTTTGAATGCTTCCATTAGATATTTTATATGGTTGTTTGCTTATTTTTAAATGTAAAAATACTGGCTTTATATCTTTAAACTATTTCAATTATTGTATCCTAATTTGGTCACTTTTTCTCCATAAGTATGGAGAAAGCTGAACCTTTTTAACTAAACATATCTATAGTTATTCTTTAGTCTTTTTTACTTTTGATTAGATCTATTGAAGTTGATTAGGTGTGTTCTTAGAACCTGAAAACATTCCAAATTATATTGTGATAGTAAATCTGTTCCATTCCTATTCCCAATGCTTAACACTTCCCAGGGAAGGGAACATGTGTTTCCCAGGACGTGACACTAGAAGCGTTGCCTAAATATAGATGTATTTAGTATTCCCAGAAGTGTCAGAATCTCAGCTATAAGCCCACAAAAAACATTTCCCTGACCCCAAACAGCTGAAATAATAAGCCATAACAGAAAAGCTACATTTTCAAAAAAGATTTCGGTCTACTGCTATGCATTTTGAAAGAGGTTATATGGTATATAATGCAAAAGAAAAAGGAAAATACTTCATATTTTCCACTTTTTTATCCTCGGTTACTCTGGCACAATGACAGCTGCTGTGATGTTTCCACCTCTGATGAATCCTCACAGTATCAGCTTCAATCTGAGACCAACATGGTTCAGAAAGAGTTTGGAGTTAAAGAGAAATTTGGGCAGGAACCCCAGAAATGCCTCAGGCTGAAGAAGTTAAGACGTGTTTCATGCTAATCTTCTTTCAAAGTAGTCTTCAGTGTGCAAAAATTCTTCCAACTTTCCCATTTTGGGGAGGTTTTAATGTAGCTGAAACCCCCAAATTAATTGAAAATGGAAAAAAAAAATCTATATGTTGAGTTGTCAGAGGTTGTAAAGTATGCCTAAAAGACTCAAATTTAATTTAGTTTTACCATTTATAGAACTGCAGCTAAATCTGGAGGGGAAAAAAAAGTGGGAAAAAAGTTTCTGTTTTTTTCAATAAGATGTATGAAATATGCCTAAACATTTCAAATTTGGTACATGAGTTCCACTTTTATAGCATTGGAGCAAAATTAGATGAAAAATGTCAATTTTATGTAACAAATTGTCCAAAGGATGTCTAAACAATTCAAATTTAACTTAAAAGTTACACATTTTACAGAATTGCAGTAAAATGTCATTTAAAAAAGGAACTTTTGTTCCTTTTTAAATGACAAAAAATGTTCACTTTCAGCAATATGTCTAAAATTGTCTTAAAAATAAACATTTAAGAAATGTATCTATAAATTGTATAGTCAAACTTAATTTTTACAAAAAAAAGTAAGGAAGTGACATTAATTGAGCCCATTTTTAAAGATTTGAATCAATGATTGAAGAGCACTCTGCATAAAAGTGTGTTCTATAAGAATGTTTCCATTCTTTTTATCCTTACAGAAACTCTGACTGGTTTTCAGGAAGCGCATTAGAGTTTATAAGATGACTCAGAAATGACAGTAATCAGATTAAACATCATTACCGGCACAGGAAGTGATTCGACTGAACGTAGGTGATGAAATGCTGGGCTTCTATCAGGGCTGCGAGTCGCAAACGCTGAGCAAAGAAGAAGATGGCAGCGCTCCAAAGCCCGCCGCAGTTCGAGCATATTGTCATTATTATCTTATTATGAGGTCAGGCTGAGAGCTGCCTCACTCAGTGTTTGGCAGGATGCCCAGAGAACGCCATCCCAGCACCGGCCAATCAGAGAGCAGAGACATGAAGTAACGGGCTACACGTAACCCAAGCTTTGGGAACTTTTTACTCCACTAAACCAACTATAAAGCAGGAGTTGCTACCTGATTTATCACTAATTATCAACAGAAACGGGTCAAAAAGAGATGCTGGATATATTTAGCCGAAAATAATGAATCCCTGAATTCCTCCAATTATCCCCTAAAATTTCCTTTAAAAAATTGAAAAAGACATGCATCCATGCTGATTGAAGTTAAAATCAAGAATATGTAGAAAATCTGCACATCTGATGGACAGCTCAGAACTTCTTTTTCGTCTTTTGTCATTTTGCGATCAGTTTGTCCCTTTTTCTGATCTTTTGCTATATGTTTTGGTTTAATGGCTATTTGTTGGCGTTTTTAGTCAGTTTTAGTTTAGCTGGGAAGTTTCTGGTCTTTTGTTGCACTTTTTGGCAGTTTTTGTCTTTCTGGAGGTCAGACTTGTTGTGGACTAACTGTTAGTGGAGTACATGAACTGAACTCTTAACAACATAACAGAAACATCTTTGTTGGAGTTGTATCTGTTCTTGGAATACTGTGAAGCTTCATAGGAGAGTTCCATCACTTTATGTGTTTGACTGCTTTGACATCAGTGTTTACTGTGCCTGCAGCTGTGATTGGATCCGGAAATGGTGACATCATTCAATCTGAAGAACTTTAAACAGGGTGAAACATGTAGGGACAGAGAAAGAGGGCTGAGGATTTCCTGATGAATCCAAAACAATCAGAACAACCTGCTGTTGTGATGTTTTGAGTAGTTTTTATGGAGGCCTGAAACTGAATTTAAAAAATAAATTTAAAAAGTGCATAAATACCATGGCATATATATCAATTTGTTAAAAATAAACTATTAAAGCCCGTATTTACCATTGTTACTAAATAATATATTTTCCTCATATTTTCTTACTCATTTATTTAGGCATTTTTTAACAATAAAAAAAAAAACTTGGATGATTTTAATGTCTCCTATTTTTTCTTGATTCAAAAAGACATATTCTCCAACTTCCTGTTGATTGACCTTGAGAAGCGGACCTTGTTAAAGAACAGCCTGCATAATTTGCATAATGAAGCTGCAGGTAATGAGGAAAAATAGAAATAAAGTTAGACACATTTTTAAAAATTGAAAATGGGCTTGAGTAAAAAAAAAAAAGGTTAAGATAAGAATTGAAAAACGTAAATATGAAAATTGAAGCGGTTAAATAGATCACTTGAATTTTTGGTGGAATTTTGGTAAAATGTTAATTACAATTGTTTCATTTTACCATTTAATGGTGCATTTTTTGTATTTTTATTTACTGAGACATGTATAAACATTTACTTTTAATACACCTTGAAATGATCCTGATCTCAGAGGTTTGCTGACACTGTGCTCTTCTTTGGAAACAAAATTCCTCTTTAGTTTTACCGGGCTCCAAAAAATACTTAAATAAATCCAAGCAAATTTTGTGGAACTCTTCAGTTTTCCTTTTATTGATGGTGAACTTATCAAACACAGATTCATATCTTAACACTTTCTCCCAGAAATCTTCATAGTAAATTCACTAAATATATTTTTAGGTTTTGTTTTTCCTGCTCATGCAGCGCAGGCAAAGAAAAGAGGCCCCTCTGACCCCTCATCAGTTCTTCAGCCAATCAGATATATGCATTCTTTACAACAGGACTTTATAAGCATCCAATAAGAAAATATACAAAAACAGATTTTTTAAATTGTTTTTAGTCTTTGAAAGAATAGATTATGCAGACGCTTGGAGAATGTAGAAAAACATTTTCCTCTTGAGGGCGGGGGGTACACTGAGTGTTTCCTTCCTCCTTCACATTTCTAAATGTCACAAAAACGTATTCCATCCAAACAGATTAAACTCAGAAAAGTACCGTTACTTTCCAACAGAACCAGAATGCACAGGACTACAGGGACCAGAATGCATTGTGATGCAAGCATGAACAAAAACAAAGAAAACAACAACTACAGCAACAACAACAACAACAACAACAACAATCATCAGACTTCATATTTCATATGAACTTCCTCCTGGAGGGGTGGGGGTGAAAACAAAATGGCACAAACCGAATAAGAAAAGAAGACTTTATTCGCACCGACGTGGAAACGCTGACGGCAGTTTGTTTCTGTCGTTCTCCACAGGAGTCGTGCAGCGTCGCTCGTCCGTCCTCCGTCACAGTGCCTTTATACTGCTGTATATACTGCATTTCCCAGCATGCCCCTGCTCGTCCATTGACAAGGACACACCCCCTCCATCAGCCAAGATGGAGAGGCGTAATGACAACAAAAAGAAAGTGTGCAGCTTTGATGAAAAGCTTCGCCTCGACCACCGGTGTTGCTGTTGGTCAGTCTGTAAAAATTCAGCACCAGTGGGAGAAAAAGGCCATTTTTGATTTGCTGTGTTCAGACATTCGGTTTTGTTTTTCTACTTTAAAATTTAGAAAATAAAAAGCCAGGCTCCTCCCCTTATTATACCCCGCCCCTTTAATCAAGGGCGTGGGGTTAATAAACCCTGCCCTCTCGGAAGAAGCATCCAATAGAAAAGTTTTACAAGAGTCTTTGGCAGATTAAGAGAAAGAAAAGGCCATCGACTGGGAAGTTTGCTGCATCTTTAAGATATTGTTATGCTTGATGATATTTAGCCACGAATGAGCCACAACATCCAGAGCCTCACTTTAAGTTTTTAAAATCTGTTATAATCAGAGGTGGGAGGTAATTTTTCACTGATATTTAAACATAGGATAAGAGCAAATATTTCAAATTGGAACTAAACCTTCTGTCATGCATGACTCATTCATGAACAACTGGAAAATTTGGAAAAACCAAAGTCTCAAGTTTGGATAAATTGTTATTTTACGTTTGTGTCTCCTCCAAACCTTCTGATAGGTTTAAGTTTCAGAGGTTTGCGGAATCATTTCAAGTAATTGTTTATTTTTGAATAAAGTTCTAACCCAGACTTCAACAGTGATCTTGAGGTGCTGACTAATTCTTTGACAAATTAGCAACCTCAACTTCCACCTTAAGTCATGCCTGCAGCTCATGTGGGACTGTAATAATCACTTCTTGAAAGGGGATGCTCCTGGGCTGGTAGGATCCTTTTGAGAGTTTGTCAGTTGATGCAGACCAGATCATTGTTCTGGCCAGAGATGTGATGAGTTGATGATGTTTTATTCATCTGATGCGTTTCTACCCCACAGGATGACGCTGGACTCCACTGACCACCATATAAAACAAATATCCACAGGTAAGCTTTGATTTAAATCTTAGCTTTTAGACAAAGGTTGTCCCTTAACTGATTAGTCTGACTGTCTTGTTAGATTTAATCCTTATTTAATCAGTAAATCATCTCAAAGTCAATCTCTGGAAGACCACACCAGTTTTTTTTCTCCATATATTTTTAAAAAAGTTTTAAGTGAATGGGACACTTAAACTCCAAACCATGTCAACTCTAGAATAGTTGAATTTAACTTCCGGCAACCAACTTTTCCTAATCGCTGTTGCAAATCAAAGCATGATTACTGAAAATGATTCAAGCTGTACAAAGTCTGCAAATTAATATTAATTTAACATTGACATGATGTTTCTTCCATTCGTCACAACTAGGTATTTGACTGTGAAATCCAGCATATTTCCAAAAAGTCCCGCTTATTACCAGTAAGTCATATCAAACCCTTTTTTTAATAACCATAAGATGCGACATGGTTGGAGAATGTCAGAAAACTGAGTTGTCTTTGGGCCACAGTTCTGTAAAGTGGTACACAATCTTCTAGTGCTGATGTCAGTTTAATATTTGTTTTTCACTTGGCAGTTGCAAAGCTTATTAACTAAAGTTACCAAACAGCATGATATTTTGTTTTATCCACTGAAATACAAGCTAGTGCAAGCCATCAGGTGAGGCTAGCTCTGAGCATTTGCTAAGGCCTGGCTAGTACGGTATCTCATTTTAAAGCGGGGAGTTGTTTAGGTGAAATGGCTCATTTGTTCTATGTTGGATAGCACAGGAACCATTCTTGAATATCTGCAGGGTGAGAAAGTTAAGCTATTTTGTTTGCTGTGGTGAAATGGAGCTGGTGTAAGCTATCAGAGAAGCTAACACCTGGCTAATGTCTCATTTCTTAGTGGGGTGAAGTGGCTAATTTGTTCCGTTTATGATGATGTAGGTATAAATCCTGTCTATTTGCAGCATGAGACAGAGCTGTTGAATTTGCTAACATTTAGCTAATTTCTAGTTTTCTAGTGGTGAGATGTATAGGCTGGGCTAGCTATCATATAGCTCCCCAGTTCCTGAAGAGGCTATTTATTTATTGCTCTACTCTTCTCATAAGCACCAGCCAACAGTGCAACATTTCAAGCTTGTTGTTTCTCTTGAGAATTTATTCAGAACATGTCATATAATGGGAATATCTTTTTATGGGTGAAAAAGCTAATTTAGCCACTTTTATTTCCAGTCAAACGGCTTAAAAGATTATTATAGGTGTGCATGCACATCCACATTGCACATGACTTTCACTTAATCTCTAAGGGTTAGGGTTAGTTTGTTACTTTGTTTTACTATATCTTTAAAACAGTGATCAGCTTGATTAGGATAACAGTTTATTAGCTACTTATTTCCATACAAAGTTTTTGTAATACCTTTTGGATATTATTGGTATTCCCATTGGAATATATGTATTCCTCTTTGACTTTAACATGGATGCAAAAGTGGACAGTAAAGTTTGAATAAATATTTTACACAAGGTTACATGTTTGTGACTAGCAAAAGTTTTTTCCCCATTTTCTTTATGAAACAATAGTATGAGATTACTACTCCTTGTCATGGGAACATTAAAGACTTATACTGAGATTTTATGACTGCAAAGTACACAAATGCTATAGGAATTACCATAGTTCTGTGAAACAAAACCAATGTTTAATGAATCCTAACTATTGGTATGGTCTTCAGTGAAATGGTTTGCAGAACATTGTCTATTCTTACGTTTTGGCATCTGTTTAGAATTGAATAAAATGTGTTGCAGATATCCAGTAAATCATCCTCAGTAAAATGTATAATTTCAGATTATCCAGTGCTTCCACGTTGGAAACTTATCATGGGAGTCAGTGGAGTCTCAACTCATGGATCTGTAGTACAGTTTTATTGGCCTTTTTCCTTTTGAAAAAAGCTCCAAAGTTCTGCCTGTTGCTGATCCCCGACTTCTTTGATTGCGGTCCAGGTGAAGTTCGGCGGCCAGTGAGAGGGAGCTGGATGCTTTCCTCAGAGCAACGGAAGCGGAGGTGGTGCTATGAAGAGGCGAGGAGCAGGACGAGCAGGACGGTGAACAGTAAGGTCGATGGCTGAGTGAGGCTGCAGCCGCCAGTGGTGTCGTCCGTCAGGAAGGGCTCCGGAGACTCGTACACAGAGTCATCTGGAAGAGAGGCCAGACCAGAACACTGTGAATCATGACTAAGACACATTTTCCCTTCACAACCTCCACAATACAGCCTTAGATATAAGGCTAATGGGGATTTCCCTCCTCTGCTGGCCAAAATGTTTTCAATACCCATGAAAGTATAGATAAATGGTCCCCAGACTTTCTCTAAAAGGCCTGCCCCCATTACAGCTCACGTCTTTCCTTGTATCCTCATCTCCTGAAGTGTTTAGACTAACTTCCATAGATCTTTACATGTAAACTGACAGAAAAATGAGTAACTATGACTGATTCCCCTCCCTGGGTTGCCACATTATCGTGTTTGAGGGGTTGGTGTGCGAGGCGGAGAGATTCCGGCTAAAGATAGTCGGTCTCGCCTCGACACACTGGCTCAGGAACCAGTACTCTTGAGAGGGGTTGGACACTCTTCTAGAGTTGCTCCTGGTGAGAGGCGCCGGGCGGGAGTGGCGCTTGTACATTGGGGTTCACCCTGGTGAATGAGAGGGTAGCCTCCCTTCGCCTTCGGGTGAGGGGGACGGGTGCCGACTGTTGTTTTAGCTCCTGTACCTAACATTGCAGAGTACCCACCCTTTTTGGAGTCAGAGAGGGGTGCTGGAGGGTGCCCCTCCTGGGGAGTACCTTGTTCTACTGGGGGACTTCAATGCTCACGTGGGCAGCGACAGTGAGACCTGGAGGGGTGTGGTTGGAAGGAATGGCTGCCTCCAGCTTTGGCCCGAGTGGTGTTTTGTTATTGGATTTCTGTGCTCAGCACAGATTGTCCATAACCAACACCATGTTCAGGCATAGGGTGTCCATATGTGCTCCTGGCACCAGGACACCCAAGGCCACAGCTCAATGATCAACTTTGTTGTCCTTTCAGCTGATCTGTGGCTGCATGTCTTGGGACACCCGGGTGAGTAGGGGGGAGGAGCTTTCCACTGACCACTACCTGGTGGTGAGTTGGCTCCGGTGGTGGGGAAGGATGCCGGTGAGACTGGGCAGGCCCAAACGCATTGTGAGGGTCTGCTGGGGGCGCCTGGCAGAGTCCCCCGTTAGGTGTAGGATCAGTGCCTCGGTTCTTGCTCACGAATGGAGGTAAGGAGCGGGAGATCGACAGGCGGACGGCATTAATGCAGGCGCTGTACCGGCTTCTCGATTTATCAGTCGATCTACATTCCTGCCCTCATCTATGGTCATGAACTTTGGGTAGTGACCAAAAGAATGAGATCATGGATACAAGCAGACGAAATTAGTTTCCTCCACAGGGTGAGATAGGGTGGGGAGCTCGGCCATTCTGGAGGGGCTCAGAGTAGAACCGCTGCTCCGCCACATTTAGAGGAGCCAGTTGAGGTGGCTTGGACATCTGATCAGGATGCCTCCTGGTCGCCTCCCTGGTGAGGTGTTCCGGGCACGTCCCACAGGGAGGAAGCCCAGAGGAAGACCAAGGACACGCTGGAGGGACTATGTCTCCTGGCTGGCTTGGGAAGGCCTGGGGATCCCCCGGGAAAAGTGGCAGGGGAGAGGGAAGTCTGAATTTCCCTGCTCAGGCTGCTGCCCCCGCGACCTGACCCCGGTTAAGCGGTGGATAATGGATGGATATATTTAATTTTTCCCAAGATGGTAAATGGACTTGTATTTATGGAGCACTTTACACTACATGTCATCCACACACTGGATGGAGCAGTAGTTAGCTTTAGCTTCAGAGCCTTGCCCAAGGACTCTTTTCTTTGACATGTGGCCTGGAGGAAGATGGAGTTAAACCACTGACCCTCCAATCAGTAAGCAGCTGCGCTCTCCTCCTGAGCCACAGCCGCCCTGCTGTTAAGATAACAACTCCCTGAGAACAACTGCAAACAGAAGCATTCTCAGAAATAATCTAATGGTGAGTTATCCTCCTTCGCTTTACCTGACAGCTGCTACAGACACATCAGGGGGTGATGTGTCTGTGGCTGGTGATGAGCAGGTGGTACTTTCTCATCAGACTGCACCATGCATTCATGTGAAAACATAGCTGTTTAATTCTGGAGTTCTCTGAAGTACTTATGAGCAGGTCAGCATGGATTTCTTACTCTAACGAACCCACATACATTAATGTGACACTCCATCACAGGAAACTAACCAAGCTGAGTACATGCAAGCAGAAAAGGGCCATTAGTTACTATTTTTCCCCCTCATTTATATATATTTTTTTATCCAAGAGTCCAAGGTTGTGTATTACTGTTCAACAGCCTTACCTTTTTTCCTTACAAGAAAAAAAAAACATTCATGAAATATCATGCATGTTAACCTTCAACAACTTTCAGCTGGGATTTTCTATTATCAAGCATGCGGCTGCTTTTTATTTAGCTAATATGCTCCAGGAATGCACGTACATCAGCTAATTAGGCCTCTGATCAGCTGTTTAAAGGACTCAATCTTATTGTTTCTCATTTATTCAGCAGCAGCCTGACTCCAAACTTTCCCTTTACTATAATTTGACCCAAATGAATAAAAACATTGTTTTAAATCCTTTTATCTATATATAATCCTATTCCTATAGATGGAATGTTCAAATATTTATGGCAGTGATGGCTTCGCTTCAGCTATCACTGGTTTGGCTTTACACATCATTACATCCCTTTTTAAACATGTCCTAAGTACAAGTATGAGCCTCTTGTACTCTAAATGTTTTATGCTACCACACAACGGGATGTCACATAGGTTCTCCTTTCCCCATGCGTTTCAAAAAGCCAAGGGGTATTTTTGACCTACCAAACAGGATTTCTACACTATTTTTTTTGGTGGGATCTAGAAATGAAAACAGTTCATTAGTTTTCTGTTGAGCTAAATTCAGCGGATAATCTATACTTTAAGGAAACCTCTGAACTATTGGGGGGGAAAAAGCCAAATCTGAGTGGTTTCAATTCTCCAAATTTTGGTTTTAAGGGTCCTTAAAAAGATGAGGCAGATGTCCAGTTTAATGTCATACAGCAGTAGACTTATTTCAACAAACTCATTCTGTACTTGCATTTTGAGATAAACAGAAATATTATCTTAAAACAGTTAACATTAGACTTAGTGGCTATGTTTTCATAATATTTTCAGAGAATACCAAGAGAATTAAAGTCTTTCATCATAAAATTCCCTATTATTTTCCTCTGTTGTAAAAGGATCAGATTATTGGCCTGGTTTTAAAGCTGAATTGTGGGACATTCTGTGGAAATAATTTGTCCACACTCTGTTTATTCTCCCTTCTAAATATTCAGAGATTCACAGCTTGTGCAGCTAATTCACCCCCACATCTAATGAAGGTCTTTTCTTCCTGCTCAGCAGCACAAATCCTCGTCTCTCCAACAAATCAGCCTCCACTGGGGCTGATGAAAGCTGATTTTGTGGGCGAAAAAGGAGGATTTCCTGCCAGCGACGGTGTAAACGTGTTAATGCCGTTTTCTGCTATGACAGTTAAAATCTCATAAACTGCTTTAAAACTGCAAGGGGGAAGCGTTTAACGCCTTCACACTTCCTCTACTTCACACTGACATTTACACTTTCACAGAAAGATGGAAGATATTACAAATAAAAATGTAAAAAAAATATCTGAACCTGATGTCTCTCAAGTCAGTTTTTTTTTTTTTTTACATAAAAATGGATCAACGTGAACTGTCAACGATGGCTTTGCCGTCAATTCAAAGTAGAATTGACTCCTTTATGAGCAGATTTACATAAACTAGTTAGTCAAATAACTGATTATGTTCCAGCAATTGTGATTTTCTGAGCTTAATTTTCATTTGGAATTTTGAAACCACTCAAACATTTTAAAAATTAATTTACTTTCTCACGTCATACACCTTTTGTAAGGTAGATTTTTGCTGAGGTAATCCTGGATGCTTTATTTAAACCACACACTGCATTTCAATCTCCATTTCGTAAGCTAATTCAACTTGGATTCTTTTGTGACTGTTGTGATTATTCTTTATCCTTAGAAGCAGAGACTACACTACAAGAGAAATGTGAAGAGGAAGCAACTCACTGGTTGGTTTGACGTAGATTTTGAGCTTCAGACAGGGTTTCCCAGCCAGGTTTGGATGTGGGGACGCTGCAGGGAAAGCACACAGAGGTAGTTCATCATGTGAAAAAGCATTCCAGTTATAAAAGAACCACAATTTGAACTTGCCCCTAAATTTAACCTTAGAAAGGGTAGTAAAAAAGGAGTCTGTTCACTCAGCACTTTGTTTCAGTGGGCTTAGAGATCAGAGATTAAACGGTAAGTATTTTATTTTCCCTTTTTGTTCCCCCTAATAAAGGTCAGAAAATGTTTATACATGTGCCAGATTTTTTTTACTTTCTTTCCCTTTTCAGCTCATTTTCCGGTTCGTAACATCAGTCAGCTGATTGCACTCTACATTAGGTCTCTTGAGTTTTATGTTTGGCAGCTGTTGAGCAAAACTTAATTCAAGCGAATAAAATGCCTCCCTTTTTTTTTTAAAGAAAAGAAAAAAAGCTTATGAGTCACATCTCTGGTTTCACAGTCTTTGTTGGGCTGTTTGACTTTGACCTGCGGAGGATGTTTTATTCATGTTTCTGCTCTGAACCTGCTGCATTCATTACACACACATGCAGAGTCATTAAGTGTCATTTAAAACAAACTGCACCTCTGTCTCTGCTGGAGGCTTTTCAGCCCAAACCAGCCACAATTTAGGAAATGTTTTCCAGCTTGGAGGACAAATTAAGTCCAGACAGAACAAAATGACAGCGGCTTGTGTTTCCGAGGTCTGAACTTTACCACCTTTTGCTTCATGTTGACTGACCTGTGCTGGTAAACTCGCTGAGTGTTTGATGTCTGGGTTCAGACAGCACCATCTTTGAAGGTGATCGGATGGTCACTGTGCCAAATATCAGGTCATCGCAGAGGAGAATGCTAAATTAAACTGCTGGCTCATTATTTCACACCATTCGAGAAAGCGTGCTGGGAAGTGATTATTTTGTGTTTCAGTTGTATTGGGCCATCATTTCACTAAAACGCTGGGCTGTGAGTGGGTCCACCATACAACCAGTTGTCCAAACCTAAAATGTACCCACATTTCGTGTGACTTTGCTGAGCCAGATTGCCACCAGATCATGACCAGTCGTGGCTTAATGCACGTAAGAGCCTGACTGACTTACTGGAACCAGAATTTAAAATAAACTGTGTCCGATAAGGAGCCTGTCGTCTGACCTTTACCTTAACCCTGCATAAGAAGTATGCATTTCCCTCTTTAGACGTACTATAACGGGGAACAGTTAAAAAAGGAACTTATTTCCCTCTGTGAGAACCTCTGTGCTTCCATTAAGCCTTTTCAATAAATCCTCATTGTATATTAGCAGTAGACCGTTTGAACAATATATGACCAAATCACTGAAGTTATGTATTATATATTGAGGTATTTTACTTCCTTTCTTTTTACCAGAGGTACCAGCGACAGCAAAGGCAACCTGGTCATGTGACCGTTCACAATTCTTACATGATAAACAATTTGGAGACCATTTATTATTATATAACCTGCTTTAGTTCCCCAGAGTCTAAACACTGCGAGTTACAACGATTGTTATGGATTGGGTTAAACATGTCGACAGGCTGTAGTCGCTCCGATAGAAAATCATGTTGAGTCTGTACCGTCAAGCAACCCTGAAAAACTAACGAAAGCGTTCAACCTGAGAGCTTCAGTAAGAAAAACTGGATGACTTCTTGGATTTAAAAGGTCCTAGATTTTCATAAACTCTGCCCTGTAACACCAGTCCTTCGCTCTTTACATCCAGAATCCATTTCAGAGATTTGCATGGCCAAGGTCATTTTTATTTTATTTTTAGCCCTACAACAGGACCCTGAGGTCCTTTGATCAGGGACTGTTGGCCGTCCCTTGAACCCAAATCAGAACAAAAGGAAAATCTTCATTTGAGTCAATGACAATCCACAGGGGCTTTGCACTGGAATTGAAACTAATTAGCATTAATTAGCCAGTTTTTCTGTTATAAATTCTGAAACACCAATAAAGTAGAAAGGATTGGAGAAGGTGGGGTTCTCGACCTCTCAACAAATGAAAGGAGGTCCAGGAGAAATGACCAGTTGCTGCTGTAACTGTTGGTGGAACGCATACTAGAGTTGCAATTTAGAGGAGGAGCATGGTGGGAGTCAAAGAAGTCTGTGATCCTACATGGCAACCTCTTTAGCTTTAGCCCTAACCCATCGGAACTAAATGGGTTTTGGACCACCAGGTAGGTCAACTCTTCGAGTGGATGTCGGATATACAGAGACAGAGCATCTTTGAGTCTCAGCTTAGGGAATTCCCTTAATGTCCTCCCCTGCTCCTACCAGCATGGCCAGGGGAACCTTTGAGACTTACTGAAGCCCAGCAGCACCCTGAGATCCTTTGATCTCAGTTCAGAAAAAAAAGGAGACTCTACTTTTGAGATTAGTGCCCTAAGCTTCCCTCCTGGGGGAGAATCCTAAGAGCGCAAGTCAAAGCAACTGGACGAATTCTTTATAATTGAGGATGTTCCATCTCTCATCCAAAAGGCTTCTCCAGAGCTAAAGAAGAACGTCTTCACGTTCCAAGAAAAAGTCCAGCTTCCTTTACTCAGGCTCCTAGGATTACCCTAACCCGGATGGACACATCCACCCCAACAGACATGCACTCACATCTATTAAAGGGTGTAGTACTCACAGATGTAGTAGTACTCGTGTCCTGGCCTGAACTCGAAGCCCAGGCTGAAGGGGGTGAACAGCTGGAACTTCTCGGAGAACTTGAGCGGTCCGTTGGGGCTCTGCGGCCGGTTGCACTCCCAGCGTTTGAAGCCCTTCCTGTGGTGGTCGCAGGTGGTGTACCCGTCGTAGTTCACCATGTACAGGATGTAATGCTCCATGCGCTCGGCTGACTCCACCCCCTCGTAGTGAGGGCAGTAGATGTCCAGGTAGTCGTTGATGGCCACCTCCACCGTATAGTCACCCCGGAAGAACCTGAGGGACATAAACCACATCATTTCCTGTCTTTCTTTAAATGAAACATCTTGTGCTCCTTTGTCCAGCTTATAGTTAAATCAAAACATGAGATTAGTAAACATGGATTCACTAATTTCAGTGAGTGGTTACATTTGATGGACATATAATAATAAAAACTCACAATCAGAGACCATTCAAGACAATATCTTCCAAATAAGACTTAACCCCATCAAAGTTTCTGCCTTTTTCCAGGGAAAACCAACTTAAAAAGGATCATAAATATAAGAGTCTGATGCACATTTCTGCAGCCTCAGCCTGGATTTTATGTCTTTCTGCAGACTTGTGAACTAACTTTTATTGGAAGACATTAACAGGCCTTCTGCTTGTTTTTAAAAAAAAATGTTTTTTAGCTTTTGGATCTTTTAATACCACACAGTTGATACTTTGGGTTAATGCTCACCGAGATGTAGTTAGCTGTTATACTTCCTTATATTAAAGACATAACTGGTAGAAAATTGAGGGGATTGTTTCAATAAAAAGGGGTATGGGTATTTATCTTACAACAACAGTCAAAACAATTTAGTTTAGCCAGATACATTTTTCAGGACTATCCCAGTATGAGTTATTTCCTTGAATGATGGCAAGAAAGAGAATAAAGCAAAGCCAAATAAAGAGTTTTCCAGGTTCAGTTACAACAACTCATGCCTGCACATACAAAATGTTCAAGTCTGCTTCTCAGCGCAGAGACTCCGAAGCCAACATATGGAAACCATTGATCACTGCCCTCCAAACCCCCTGAGGCATTAATTAATCAAAGCTAACTGTTTATCGGAGCACAGCGGTGTTTACAGGAGGGAGATGAGAGTCACAGCTGGACCCACTTCCTGCCAGCCGCCGCCCCTCAGAGCCGCCATACTCCCCGTAAACTGGGGTTTCTCTGCCTGTCGCACACCATCACTGTGACCACAATGATCAGGTTAAAAATACAACAGCGACTCAGATTTAGACACCTGGTAATTAGTTTGAACCTTTACCAAAATCTCACTAGAAACTTTAAAAAAAAAAGACGTGAACCAGTGTTCTGGAGGATTCTTCAATAAGCAGGTCAACTGGTGAATGGGAAAAAAAAAAAGCAGCACCCACTAAAGGTTTGGTCTCGCAGAAAGGAAGAGTCGTGGCTCAAGACCTTGAGGTGAACTCCATGGAAACAATCATAAAGAGTATGAAGAGCGTCGGTCTTTCAGCATCTACAGAGCAGAATATTGTGGAAATATTCAGGGAGTCTGGTCCAATTAAAGAGACCAGGCTAAAATCAGCCACTTCACACCTCTAAAATATTAATAATTCATTCGTTTTATGGTGAATGTCTCCAAGAAAAAGAAAAAAAAAAAGAGTCTTTAGAGCACTTTTAAAAGGCAGCATTGAAGCAGAAAATGAAATATAGAACAGAGAAGGAATGTTCAAGGAGAATTTAAGAAATCAATTTTGTTCTTCTTTGCTCTTCAAGGAATTTCTTAGAAGAAATACAAATTTCTGTGAAATTTTGATGAAAAGAAACACAATCAAGGTCCAGATTTAGGTCACACTGAAGGGATCTGATGTGGTTTTGTCCAACAAAGTAATAACCAATGATGGCTAAATTAGTTTAAAACGGCTAAATAGGAAATTCTGAGTTCAGATAACTGATTTTCTTGACCTGCTCCTACATGCCACTGTGATCTATACAGTCACCTGGGCTGGGTAGGACCTCGGAGAGCCATTCACACCATCACCATACACCTGAATCCAGAAATGTGGATGCATCACACCAGGAGGAACCCAGAAATCAGCTCATCCAGAAGCACAAACAATGTCAAAAACATTTTTCACCCCCAAAGAACAAACTGGCATTCATACAAGGATTTTTCTCTGATCTGAGCTGGAAGCACAAAAGGGTTCAGGATTTAAACGGAGTTTGATCAACGCGGTGACTTTTAATGTTTAGTTTATTAGTGCTAATCTCTCATAATTATACCCTTATTTAATTGCAGGGGCTATAAATAACGGGGGCAGTGGAATACCTCACTAATGAGGCTTTAAAAAAAAGACCAAGTGTTTACACATCGTGATTTTCTGGCACAGTAACACCTCATATTAGATTCAAGCAGCTGTTTATTAAACAGCAAACACACCGTGTTCACGAGTGCATCTGCACCTCCGTCCTGATCAGCCCTCCATGTTTTACAACACCAACTGTCAAGCTAATTTTCTGTTTTTGGGGGGGGCTTTGTTAAAGCCATTTCCTGAATTCTTAATACCTGTCCAACAAAGGTCGCCACCTGGATTTAAGGCAAACGGGTAATCCTGATCCTGCCGGGCTATTCCTGCATGCATGCTTCCATGCAAGCACATTATTGGCACCAACATTTGGTGAACTCAGATCTTTAAAACTCCACATAACTGATTGGTTGTTTTTTCTGCCTTTACTTATCATCTCCTGCAGCTGTAGCTGGTTAAAGCCTGAGAAACATCGTAAAACTGCAGTTTTGGGAGCCATTCGGTGTTCTGTCAGTGATTCAACGCAGATTCAGACATAATATTTGTAATCCATGTTAAATGATGGTTGAATTCACTCTAGGGTGGACTCATGATCTGCTCTGATTCATGTTCACCTACGTAAAAAACTTGCTTTGGTTCTTTAGGTGGAAACAATTAGTAAAAGATCCAATGTTTAAAGTAAGCTGGTCCCCAGCATATACAGTGGAACGCAAAGTTTATGGCCATATTCATTTATTAAAAGAATAGAAAAACACCAGCGAGAGCAGACAGTTATGGTTTAATCTACAACATACAGCCTAAAACCCTCCAGCAGTCACGCACAGAAATAAAAACAGAAATAAACCGAAAACTTTTCCGATGATTCGTCTTCACAGATGTAATTAGCATCTTTTCATTTACGCCCCCGAAACTACTCCAACAGATGCAACAACTGATCGGAAAACAAAGCAATCAAACTTTGTGGGTCTTTGCATATTCATGTAGTCCAAGTTTAACATCCAGCAGCGTGAATGCTACAAGGCTGTCCAATCAAATCCAGCCAACTGAGAGTGGTAATGAGGCCTGAACCGACTGATGTGGTGTCTTATGGTCCTTCCTGATTGACTGAGTTGTGCTGGTTAATCACAGCTCGTTTTAAATTCAGAAAGTATAATTCAGCAATAAAAACACTCACATCTTTGATGGGGAGGATGGGTAGTAATGAGATGAGTCAGTGTCTAACGGCCTCCGATTAAAAACCAATTAAATCAGACTGATTATTCAGAAAAATCAAGGTGAATCCCAACGGCTAATTAATGGTTTCTCGTGCAAATAAAAAGCCACCAGTTTTAGCCTCCGATTGGTGAAGCTGAAGCAGATCTGGAAGTTTCATCTTCAACTAAGTTTTATAAAGGAGTAAAGTCACTTGAATTTGAAGGATTTTGTCCTCTTCAAACTATGGAAGAGGCTAATAAATTATAAGATTTTGACGAGAGGTGTGCAGATAAACCAATAAAAAGCAGAATTTCTGAATACCAGATTCTACATTATTCAAGGACAGCTGCCTGCTGGTTTTAAAATTGTGTACGCACCTCTCTAAAGCTGGTAAGGTAGAGTCTGATGAAAGGAATTATTCACCAAACCAAGCCCAAAACGTCTTGGTTAGTTACTGAGCTAAAGTAGGAGTGAAACACCAGCTCGTATAAGTCCAGGTTAAAAAATAAGGAAGGCTAAAGCATAAACACCGACAACTAAGAAACACTGTCCGCTGTCCTTTTCCCTAGGCCCAATCACAGCCCGAGCCATAACATTTCAAACTGATAGGTTCTCTTGGGCAGTTTCATGCCAAGGAATATAATAAACAAGCTAATTTTTCCTTAACAGATGCCACATAGCTTTCACAAACTGGTCTGAACGCTCATCCAGTGAGACTTCATGAAGGACAACTGGGTGCTAATGCAGCTCTCACAACAACTACACAGAGTGCAACCACAATTTACACAACTTTATGAGGCTAAAGGTTAACTACAACACCAATGTTTGATTTACTGCTCACAATTTACAACCTAGCAGTCTGATTTGACTTCAGTCATGCACACCAGAGACCAAATAAACAGCATTTTACCAACAACGGTTTGTCAAAGTAAAGAATTAATAAAGACTAAGGAAGATTTTTCTGGCATCTGAACACACAAAAACAGTTATTACCCCATTTTTATTAAATATTTCTACTTCACGAAAGCTGGCAAATTACATTGGTTTTCTTTTTAAAAGGGAAAATGACTATGAAATTCAAACATTAATCGACCTAAATCAGATCTTGACAGGAGGATCCATATAAAAGAAACTTTAAAAATATCTAAACAGCCAGTCAACGGAACAGATATATCATAATCAGTTTATCTGTTAAAATTTCATTTAAATTAGTCAAATATTCTGGTCAGAATCCCAAATATGGACAAAATTGCACACACACACATGAAACAAAAAATAATAAAACAGATTTCAGCCTTTTTTCACCCTGACATACGGATCAGAACAGAAGTGCTCACCATCAATATTCTGCCGGTGACATAAAATGGCTAATTTATGGCCCAAATGTGGCTCTTATTAGCACGGCAGCACAATAACACTCTCCTCTTCGGAGGCCGTTTGCTGCTGAAACCCCAGCACTGATTGTTCCCACCTGACCTGAACGCAGCATCAGTGTGGTCCTGATTAGGTTTGGGGTTGGTGGAGGAGAGCAGCTGGAGCATCGCGGAGGAAACATCCTGCAGAGTGAAAACGATCCCGGTGATGAGAGAGGACAGAGAGATGCGTCTCTCCTCGGCCTCGCCCTCTTTGTCTTTTCTAACACCATTAGCAAAGTGCATGCTAACTCAGTTAGCTGAAGGATCGGGTGACGCTAACAGCTCGGAGAGCAGGCGATGCGTTCACTGAACTCTGTCCCCTCGGCTTTCACATCATCACTCATCACTCTAATGGACAGAGGCTCTCCGTCCGTCCCAGCTGGGTTACCGGGGTCACCACCTCCATCAACATTAGCATCACCCTCAGAGGCCCACAGATTACTTGATTAATTGATTGGGAGACTGGCAGAGGAGTAAGAAAATTAAGTCCTAAACGGAGCCTGAAACATGCCCAAATACGGAGACTAAAATGGCAAAAATACTACTTCAAACCAATGGAAAATGAGGTAGTAGAGGATCAAATTAGGACTAAATATCAGGACTTATTAGGTGAAATCAGGACCAAAATCCAAAAGAATCTCAGACTAACTAATTAGAAGTGATACGGCAGGAAATGTTACAAAATCTATCCCTAAAATAAAGAAAAGTTTAAAATACCAGGCCAAAGCAAGGATGAATCACTACAAAATACTGAGGCATAAAGTTCACAGTAAATATGAGAGCAAACCAGGACAAACTGCTTCAAAATATGGATAAAGAATTTAAGAAAAAGTTAGTTAAAATACTGAACATTACAGGAATAGGAATAGGAATAACACCAGCAGGATAAAAAACAGGGCTGTAGGTTCACATTAACCTAGACATTAAATAGAAGCACAGGCCAGAAATAAAGAGAAAAACTACTCCTGAACGGGAATAAAACCTATCAAAAACTATGGTAAAACCCCACTAAAATGAGGAAATATTGGTCCCAAGTGGGAATGAACCACCAACTTTAATGGGATAAGCCAAGACACCGAAAAGCATTAACGAACAAAGACGAGAGGTTAAAATACAAAAAACACAAAGCTCAAAGCCAAAAGAGTACTTAAAAATTCTTATTCAAAACAAACTTGTAATAAAACACCAGTAATGACAGGTAAAATGAATCCAGTCCATATAGTAAATAATCAAACTGAACTGGGACTAAAACAAGGACAAACTACATCCAACCAGGAGGAAAAACATGGTGCTTTTACCAGTTATTTTTCTCCAGTGACTGAGGATCATATTCCTCTCTTTAATTATGAGGCTTAAACATTTGATTTTTTTCTCCCATTTGTTGAGGGGTTTTTTTCCCTGCAGAAGCCTTTCAGACTCTTTCACGTGTTATAACATATTTCATTTCCATCCATGCCCAGCACGCCTCTACGTGATTTACTGTTTAATCTGTGCAGGCCTGTGAAGGTCAGGTGGATTAGCACCAGGTCTGGTGTGGACGGGGGCGGGTCCGGGTCATTCGTCATCGTTCCTGACAGACCGGGGGTACCAGCGATTCTCCACACTGAGCAGAAGTGACCCGCTGACAGATTAATGTTGGGATCGGCTCATACAGAATCAACACCGGGCTAATGTGAGCCTCTGGAAGAAGAACCAGGTCTACTCTGCCCGGGTGGTCTGACCTGAGCGGCCACTTTCACTCAAGTTTAGAATCTAGCTTTTTCTAAATCTTAGCCAATTAATGTTGCCATTTATAATCGTGATTATGGCTAAAATATCTCAACTCTCCACCAGAAACGAAAAACAAATGTAAATTCATCAGCAAATTATGTCTTAAAAGAAGTTTAAGGAATTCTACAGGCAAATTTTCGTTGTAAAATCATTTATGTTCTCTTCTATACACATTTTGTATTATTTGTAAATGCCTTTCTGTGAAGTGGAAAGGACTGGACTCTAAAGAACCGATCTGAATGGATCATCAAAGAACTGGAGGCTGTAAAATAACTAAATGTACCGGATCTAGGTGGAATTTAAAGTGGTTTGAGGTTGAATCGAATTGAGTGCATCTCACATACCAAAACCATGGATTCCTTTCTCTCTTTAAAAAAATACAAAAAACATCTCTGCATATAGTTAAAACTCTTCAAACTGCTTTAAGTTTGAGATTTTTTATCTATTTGTGCAAAAACCCTGAGTTGTATCTAAAAATGAACAAAGTGTTGAAACCTTTAGCCTGAGTGGAGTGGTGCTTTGTGATCTCCTCCTCATTCTTCCAGAAAAAGGCGGGAAACGTCATGGCAACCAAAAACTCAGCAACATTTCACATCATGGCTGGCCCTGTTTAACATCACAGGATTTTTTTTAAAGTGCACGATTTTTAAAGATGTGTCCTTTAAATTAAGCGTCTTAACTGGCCTTTTTCTTTTTACAATGAATATTTTTTTAGGCTTAACTGTTATTTAACACAAACTTGCTTATGGACCAAATAAAAAAATAAAATAAAATAAACCAGCAATAAACGTTTAATTTAACGATTAAATGTGCAAAGCCATGAAAAAAAAATCTTGATCGTACAAGAGCAAACAGCAGAGAGCTCTGGTCCAAATCAGGATTATGTAAATCAGAAGGCTTCCAAACCAGAAGTGTAAAGGACAGAAAGGGGGAAATGTAGAAAAAATAAAAAGAGCCAAAATACCATAAATTCCATTTTAGTATAACTAAAATGGAAAAAGTGCTAATTTATGAGTGCTACACTCTGGACTAAAATCAGACCCAAGTAGAACCACAACCGCAAAATACTAAAGCAGAAGAAGAAGGAGGAAAAAAAAGGAAAGAAAGGCTTGGTGGGGCTTTTGCTTTTATAGGGCCGTGCTTATGATGCTTCCTTCAAAGTTCACGAGTCTTTGGCTTGAACAGTAACACAAAAGTCTGACATCATTCCAACATTTATGGGAGTTATTGAATTAGAGTTAATGACGGAGCAGGATTTTCCCACAGCCGCAGCGGAGAGCAGCTTCATTATTTCTGTCCCGCAGTCACATGAGCGATGCCCTCTGGAGATACGGGCGCAGGCCTTTGTGCCACTGTGTGTTCGCGTAACACGACTCTGTCCTGACAGGCCCGGCCACAATACCCACACTGTCTCATTCAGGTTCAGACAAGAAGCTACAAGCTGCGAGACAAAACTATCTGATTTGCTTTCGGAACACCTGATCCTACCAGCAGAACACACACACACACACACGTTTTTTTGTAATGAAAATCCTCCATACTGAGATTAAATGAAATATTTATTCACAACCAACAACATGCAAAACGCTAAAGGCAGCTGATTTATTCCTCATAAGAGTATCCAAGAGTACAATTCCAGAAATCAATGACAAAATTTTGGATGTTGTGAGGAATAAATCTTTTAAAAAAGTCTAAACCTAGCACTTTGTAAGGTCTCGTAACTGTGTGCTGCTGTAATGGTTAATACTTCAGTATGTAGAAGCTATTTAGCCCAAACTATATTTTAACATCCATCCATCCATCCATTATCAATACCGCTTATTCCCTGATGGGGTCGCGGGGGGAAGTGGAGCTATATTTTAACACTAAATTAGAATTGTTATTGATACATTTTCAAATATTTTGTTTCAATCAAAATTAAGATTTTTTTTTTAAAGAGCATCATTATTTCTGTTTAAGATGTCAAATTCTATTTGATTCTTGTCAGAGTTAGTGACACCAGGAAGATGCACAAAACCACTTGAAAATACGCATGACCACAAAGAGAGACAATTTAAGTAGAAACCCACAAAACTCCTCTCCAGAGAGTCTTTTCCATGTTTGCATGAATGAGCAGGGTTTCATTGCTTCCCTAAATAGATTTTTGGAAAATGGGCATGAGTAAAGGTGAAGGTAAAAACCTTCCACTGATTCAGAAAAATGTTCAGTTGGGGTGGTTTTTGGCCCAATCAAAGAAGATTTGGATTTAATTAATGGAAACAATGTTTTCAATCACATCGGACCCATAAAAAGATTAAAATGACTTTCCTGGATGTCCACTGCAGCTGCTGTTGGTTCTTCCTCCTCAAAGTTGGCTTGTTTACTGATTTACAACCACTAACCTTAAAGTTAAGCTAACAGCTCTTAATTACTATAAGTGATGATGAGAATCTCCTAAAAGAAGCAAAGGTTGCTTTAGTTTGGCTTGGCTGGTGAAAGGAGGCCCTTTTATTAAGAGGCAGGGAGAGTTTGGCCACCGTTTTTATGGGACAGATCGCCTGTTTGACTCGTCATACGTAATGCTTTCCAGCCATATCACTTTTCAACTTCCCCTCCTGTTTGTGAGTTAAAAGTGGTCGAGATTATGGTTTCAAATGAACGTTTTTATGACTCACACTTTGTAATACTCGTGGGTCACAGTTCCCTGGGTTTAACTCCTGAACGTGATGTGCACAAATGTTCATATTACACGCTTTTTTTCGGCGAGAACCGGCTGGACAAGCTCACACGAATATCTTCTGATTTAACCTCTTCCTGCGGCAGCTGCTTCACCACAACATTTGTCAAACTAATAAGTCTGAGAGGAGCCTTTGTTCACCTTAAAAAAAAAAAGAGAGAGAGAGAGAGAGAGAGAAAAAAAACTCCGGCACCAGCAGGAGCGGCTTGCTTCCCAGCAGGGGGCGCTCCTCATTGGTCACGCACTCTGAAAACTCCCAAACCAAACAAAGGAAAGTTGTTTGCTGGAAAACTAACATTTAGGGAAAGGAGCGGAGTGTTGCCGCGGCACTGACAGGAGGCGCTTGTGGATGAGGCCGCGGCCGTGTGGCGCTCGCATTCCTGAGCGCTGTAACATTTCAGAAAATGTCGGCTCATGTTAACAGAACATGTTACACACGCAGCGGCCACATGTTCGCTGTAACACGACCCCGGCTCAGCCCCCGCCAGGCGGCTGCTGCTCTGATCTGCAGCTCAGCCCCAGCACAAAGACTCCACCTCAGCGTTCGGAAAAAAACTGCCCCAAACCCGGGCCCAGACTACATGCAAATCGGGCAGAGATTAAACCGATATCCATCTCCGACGATGACTCCAGAAAAAGCCGGAGATTACCCAGAATGCCCCAGAGGCCGAGGCCAGGTTAAGGCTGGAGTTAGACATGTCAAACTCACAGGGAGGTGGGGAGGGGGGGAGAGCATTTCCAGACTTTAGAAGTGGTA